AGATGCAAAGATTGCTGGGACCCTCGCCCTGTCCCTCGTGGCTGTCCTGTGAAACCACCCTGTAGCACGAATCTTAAAGAGTCTTATTAGTAAAATCAAACCTGAGGCCAGTTAGTGGGGTGAATGCTGGAAGATCAGAGAAGCAGAACAAGCCACAGCTTCCTCACCTCGACAGTTCCTCAGCTGATCCTGTTTCCTCAGACTGGAAGCTTCTGTGTCCTCATCCCAGTGGCTCTCAGCTGAACTGCTTCTTGAAAGCCTAAAAGCTTAACCAGCTAAAAGCTTCGAGTTTCTGGTCTTCACACCTTATATACCTTTCTGCTTTCTGCCATCACTCCTTGGGATTAAAGGCTCACTTTCTGGGATTAAAGGCGTGAGTCACCATGTGTATCCTTGAACACACAGAGATCCAGGTAGATCTCTGCCTCTGGAATGCTAGGATTAAAGGCGTGTGCTACCACTGCCTATCCTCTCTGTTTTAATATTGTGGCTGTTCTGTTCTCTGACCCCAGATAAGTTTATTAGCATATACAATATTTTGGGGAACACAATACCACCACACCACCCTCAGGAATACTGCCTCATCCTAGCATCCCAAGAACCTGGATGTCACATAGAACATATACTACACTGATTTACCAAGCCTGGGGACGGCCAAGCAGGATGCCCAAAGCATCACACAACTTGCTTCCTTTGAAATGTGACTATTAAATGAGGTATGGTAGTAACCCACATTCTAGACAAGGAAGCTGGAGCTCAGAAAAGTTGAGTAACTTGAGGCCAGAGAGATGGCTCCGTGGTTAAGAGCACATACTGGAAGCTTAGTTCCCAGTACCCACTCCAGGCAGCTCCCAACCTCCTGTAACTCTAGCTCCAGGGAATTTGATACCCTCTTCTGGATCTTATGAGTACGTGCACTCTCTCACACACAGACACACATAGTTTAAAAGTAGTACAAACAAATCTTTAATCCCAGTACTTGGGAGGCAGAGGCAGGTGAATCTCTGTGAGTTCAAGGACAGCCAGTGCTATGTAGAGAAATCCTGTCTTGCTGGGCGGTTGTGGCACGGCAGTTCTTTGTGAGTTCCAGGCCAGCCTGATCTACAGAGCTAGTTTCAGAACAACCAAGGCTACACAAAGAAATTCTGTCTTGAAAATCCAACTAAACAAACAGAAGATGACAACAAAACACGTTGAATGGACAATGAAAATAATAAACAAATCCAAATATGTTAAGCAAATACGATACTAATGGCCCCATACATGCTTAACATACAGTATCTGTAATACAAGCTGAACTAATATTATAAAATACAGTATGTTTTTCTCACCTGTTCAATGGGTATTATGAATTAAAATGTGTTTAGGTGACAAGTTGACAAGTGGTGGACTTCTGATGGTGGATCATCATTGTCAACTTGGTTAGACTTAGAAGCATCTAGGAGACATGCCCAGAGACATGTGTGTTTCCAGAGAGGTTTAAATGAACAGGGAAGACCTAGTGTGAATGGGGGTGGTACCATCCCATGGGTGGGGGTCCTGGACTGAACCAAAAGGGAAGGAGAAGACAGCCAACAGAGCACTGGCATTCATATTGCTCTGCTTCCTGACCCTATAGGCAATGTGACCAGCTGCCCCATATACAATCTAGAGCAGATCTCTCCCCCATGCCTTTCCTATCATGATGGACTACACCCTCCAAGTGTAAGCCAGAAATGAACCTTTTCCTCCTTAAGTTGATTCTGTCAAATATTGGGTTATAGCAATGAGAAGAATTAGTAATACTGGAGGCATTACAGTTTGAATCTCTTCTACATTTTGAACTCTTGATTCCCAGATGGTGCCATATCCTTGGGGGATTCTGAAAACATGGGGAGAAATAAATGCTGGTGCTCAGCTTTCTCCTTTTTCCCTTTCCCACTTTTTCTTCAATCTCGGACCCCAGTCCATTTGATGGTGCCATGTGGAACATTCCTTTACACTGTGTGAATATATGTCACTGTGATTGGTTTAATAAAGAAGCTGACTGGCCAATAGCTGGACAGGTAGAGGTTAGATGGGACTGGCAGACAAAAGAACATGAAGAAAGGGAGAAGTCTTCTGGGAGTCCTCGAGGAGATGCAGAGGAAGCAGGAGATGAACTTGCCGTGTTGAAAAAAGGTACCAAGCCATGTGGCAGAGCATAGATAAGAAATATGGGTTAATTTAAAATGTAAGAGTTAGCTAGTAACAAGCCTGAGCTATTGGCCCATCATTTGTAATTAATAATAAGTTTCTGTGTGGTTATTTGGGAACTGGCTGACGGTACAGTACAACACACATTCTGAATTGTTCTCTCCTCAGTGAAACCTCTCTAGAAACATCATCAAAGAAGTAGGTCACTAGTGGAGGGCCTTTGCATCTTATATATGACCCTGCCCATGATTTCTATGCTTCTCTCTGCTTCCTGGTCTACCATGAGGTCAACAGCCTCTGCCACATGATCCAGCCACCATGAACTGGGCTGCTCTGTCTCTGCCCTTTCTTTTCTGCTGTGATGAGCTAGAACTGTGAAACTGTGAACCAAATAAAATACATATTTCTTTAAGTTGGTTCTATCAAGTATTATGGTCACAGAAATGTACAAGAGACTAATACAGGCAACAATATGAATAAGTTATAAGACAAAATACTTAGAGAAGAATTTGGCTATAGTCATTGTGTATTATTATTGCTGCTGCTGCTGTTGCGAGCGTACTCTTTGGCACTAAGTAGGGTTGGGTGTGTATCCCAGCTTCATTGCTTATTTACCTGTGCAAGCCTTTTTTTTTTTTTAAGGCATCTAACCCCTCCAAGTGTGTTTCATATCTGCCGAATGGGATGACTTGATGGACCTCACTAATCAGTACAGATGATACATGTAAAAGCATTTGTCCAAATGCCTTGGACTGTGTGAACATACATGTATCTGAATAGACGTTACCAGGGATGCAGCTCAGTCAGTTGAGTGCTTACCTAGTGTGTGGCAAACCTTAGGTGTGATCTCCAGCACTAGATGAAGCAGGTGTGGTGGTGCACACCTGTAATCCCAACACTGGGGAGGTGGAAGCGGGAAGGTCAGAAATTCAAGGTCTTTCTCCTCCATGATATAGCAAGTTCAAAGCCAGATGGTGATACACAAGACCCTCTCACATTAAATAAATTCATAAATGGCAATTTTTAAAAAAAAAAATTAAGGCCGGGCAGTGGTGGCGCACGCCTTTAATCCCAGCACTCGGGAGGCAGAGCCAGGTGGATCTCTGTGAGTTCGAGGCCAACCTGGGCTACCAAGTGAGTTCCAGGAGAGGCGCAAAGCTACACAGAGAAACCCTGTCTCAAAAAAAAAAAAATTAAAAAGAAGTGATCCATAATGTGTATCACATATAACAATATAACAGCTGTATTTTTAAGATATTTTAGGATCTCTCCAGTCTCATAATAGTGTTTTCATTACATAATACTCCTTTTATTGTAAAGAGTGCAGTCAGATTTAATCTGGGTTGGAATTTCAGCTCTCCTTCTTACCACCATAAGGTCATGGACCATGTGGCAATTTCTCTGAGTTCAGTGTCCTTCTCTGTAAATTGAAGATAATAATACCTATTTTTCAGGTATTTTGCAAGGATTACTTAGATTTACATTCTCTATAACAAATTGTTAAATGTTTAAATAAATGTGATTTATTTACCCTCCCCCCCCGCCCGTGTGTGTGTGTGTGTGTGTGTGTGTGTGTGTGTGTGTGTGTGTGTGTGTGTGCGCGCGCGCGCGCATGTGCGCTCGTATGTGAGTACAAGTGCCTAGGGATGCTTGACAGGAAGTCAGATCCCTGGAGCTAGAGTTACAGAGTGAACCACCTAATGTGGATTCTGGGAACTGAACTCTGATCTGGAAGATTAATATGTGCTCTTTCTTTGTAGGGGAGGGTTTTGAGACAGGGTCTCATTATGTAGCTCTGACTGTCCTGGAACTCACTATGTAAACCAGGCTGGCCTCAAACTTAGAGATCTGCCTGCCTCTGCATCCTGAGTACTGGGACTAAAGGTGTGCACCACCACCGCCGGGCTGCAAGTCTTATACCTTAGTTTCCTATACTGGGATTACAGACACTGGCTGCCAGGCCTGGCTTATGTGTTTTATTTTTATTCATTCCTGTACAATATCATGTATAGATGTGCATACTTGTTCTGAAAGAAATCTATAGCTGGGTGACCCATCCTAACCTCAGTGTGTTACAAAGGATCAACACTATCAGACTATCAGAGGAGTGACCTGGTAAACCAGGAAGGAGAAAAGGGAAGTCACCAGCCAAGGGGAACTCCCCTTTCCTGCCTGGCTAGGATTTGTTTGTCTTCCACAGAAACTGTTCCCTGTTGATAAGGGGGTCTGCAGAGTGTCTAGCTTTGATTGGCATCTTTAGTACAGAGGAAGTGAGGAGCCCCTTAACTTTCAACTATTTCCCTCTGGATGAGCAGACTGGAGCCCCTAATAGAATCAGTTTCTGGCGCCACTGGTCAGAGCAGAAAGCCAGGGAGTGGATCCAGAATCATGATGTCAGAATTAGAAGACCTCAGAGGAGGGAGGAGGTGGAGAAGTTTAGAGCATGGGCTAAGGAGGCAGAGTGGAGGCACAAATCCTGGCCATGCTACTTTATAGCTGCATAACCTGGAAGAAAGTTCTAGAATCATGTAAAGCCCTAGTTTCCTCAGCCATAAAATGAGGAAAAGAATATCCCTGACTCTAAACTGGAGGCAGAGGTAGTTGGATCTCTGAGTTTGAGGCCAGCCTGCTCTACGGAGTGAGTTCCAGGACAGCCAGGGCTACATACAGAAACCCTGTCTCAAAAAAAAAAAAAAAAAAAAAAAATGTGCCTTACTCTATATGAAATGAGCCAATCTTGCAAAGTAGACACTTAGCATAAGACCAGGCACATAATGAGAGCTTGATCATGGTAGGCTGCTGTCTTTTTTTTTTTTTTTTTGCAGCTCTGCAATTTCACTTTTATGGTTGAGGCTCCTGATGGCCAGAAAGGAAGCACAGCTCATTAGCTGTCCAGCTGACTGGAGCTACTTCCCAGGCCCAAGCGGGGCTATGCCAAAGGTGTGTCCTGAGAGATCAAGGCCCTGCATTAACTGAGCTGAACTCTGAGAGTCAGATGGGTAGCACTGCCCTAGCTGTGGGGCTGGACCTTTTAGAGCACCACAGATCAGACAGATCAGGGCATGACTCCCTCCCCGTGTCCCCCCCCCCCCCCCCCCCGTCCCGTCCCCCCCTCCCCCCCCCCCCCCCCCCCCCCCCGCCCTCATCCGCCCCCAACTCCGAACTGAGTAACTCCCGAAGAGGCAATCTCTTCCTGATGGAATTATTTATTTTGTAATTAACAAAGGCTGAGGAAGCCCTGTTTATGTTTTGGCTCAGAGGCTCAGAGTTGAAGTTTCTAATAAGCCGTGGACAAGGGTTTATTGTAGGCTTGCTCTTGCTTGCTGAATCAACCTCATTCTTACGATCCCTAAGCCACCAAGGGGCCAGGAGCTAAGTACCTAAGGCAGAAAGTGAGTTTTCTGAGATCAGAGGACAAAGTGTCCAGCAATGGAAAGGCTTCGAAAAATCAAGCCATGGTTCCTGGCTCCATAACGTCCAGCCCTCCACTCGCTTTGGAACTGTACTGGCCCCTAAGCATTCCGGGAGGGGTCTGGCTGTTTCACTGGTCACACCACGTCCTGGGCAGCAGCCCCAGTTTCTGGTGACCTTCCTGCGGGCGTTTAGGCTTGTGCTTTGCTTTGTTTTCCTGTTTGGTTTCTCACTGCAGGGCGGCCTTTCCCTGCTTCGGGGTGGGAACTGGGGGCGGGAGGGCGCTTCGCTCCCATCGCCACAGCTGTGTTTACACTTCCCTGTTGGGGAAATCTGGGGCCCAATCTTTCCACGGTCTCTCTGTGTCCCCCTCCAACACTTGTTATTTGAGATCCCTGGGGGCTTCACAAGGGAGGGTCAGGATGGACTGCGGGGGTGGGTGGGGGTGGTGTCACCATCTGAAGGGAACTCAGGTTGGAAGGGAGGAAAGAACAGTACAGGAGCCCTATTGAGAAGCCTCATCTCTTTCCCTTTCTACCAGGGATTGAGGACTAGCAGGCAATGAGAGTACACTTAGCACTGGCCCATCCCAGAAGGAACTGAACACGTGATGTGCCATTTCTAATCGCTGGGTTGAACAAAATCTTGCTTTGGGAAGGAGGGACGAGAGTTCACAGAGCAGGGAGTTCCTCTCCCCGGCTTCATTGGGGCTGGTGGTCACAGACAGAGCATGTTAAAACCAATACGATTATCACGAAATACAAGCAAATTAAAGAGGACTTAAGAAAACAGTCAAGTAAATAACACTCTTCTCCAGGGAGCAAGTTGAGCTGGTATTAATCAGTCGACTTGTGTTGCCAGACTCTCGGCCAAGCCCGGCAGAATGGCTGCCAAGGCCAATGAGGCATTAGGTTTCAGAAATTAAACACATAATTTTATTTTTCCGCAATCGGGGACACTCAGAAAAAGAACCCAAACTATTAGACTAATCGGCACACTGTGTCCAGTTTCTCTCGGCCCCAGAGGCCTCCAATTTAAGAGCAAGATGAGCAGCGAGAAGCCAAAAGTGACACAGTTATTCCTTTCTCTCTGTAGCTTCCTGGGGGTGGGGCCCGAGAGGAGACTGGGGCTGGGATCCTGGTTGTGTCTTTCAAAGGTCCAGCTGCTGACCACTGGCCAACAGTTGTTGTGTCCTTGTTGTGGTCCCCCACCCCCACCCCAGGACAAAGACCTAAAGCGTTGGAAAAGAAAGAAAGAGGTTCAGAAGGAGAGCTGGCCAAAGGCTGGCTGATGGTGTCTGGTGGAACAGGGTCAGCTGAGAAAGTGCCTGGTCCCAGGAAAAATACCTGGCCTTGCACACGGAGGAGGGGCACACTGGCAAACAAATTTTCCCCTAGGAACTTCATACTCACTGATAATGTGGAAAGTTGTTTTTATAGTCCTTCATTGACAAGGATTACTAAACCTGTGCTCAGTTCCCATGCCAATTATTGTGAGTAAGAAAGGCGGAAAATTGGAGTTGAGAGTCAGACCGTGGTGGCGCCCTCCTTTAATCCCAACATTCAGGAGGCAGAGGCAGGCTGATCTCTGTGAGTTCAAGGCCAGCCTGGTCTACAAAGCGAGTTCTAGGACAGCCAGGACTGTTACACAGAGAAACCCTGTCTCCAAAAGCCAATTGGGGAGAAAAAAAAATGGAGTTGAAAGGGGAAGCTCAGTAAGGCAGCTAGACTGAATGAGGAGGTGGGACTCTGGGCTACCCAACTCTCATTCTCAACCTCCACACAAATCTCCCCAGCTTCCTTCCTCACCACTTCAGAAACATCCCTATAATCAATTTCCTGTTATCTCAGGTTTTTCTTTCTTCGTCTCGGCTGTTTCTTGGCGAGGTCCTCTCCCTTGGAGTCAGTTATTGAAGGGGTTAAACGCTCCCACTTTCACGACTGAATTTAGGTCCCAGTTCTCTGAGGACAAACAGGTGTCTTTTCCAACAAAGGGCCATTTATCCACAAGGCCCTCACATTCACGGTCAAGGGACAGAACAAGCACAGAGGGTCTAAGTCAGCCTCACAGTGTCTCAAGGACAAACCCAGCAGCCCCCTTCTGAGTCACATCCAAGCTTGTGTAGACATACCCAAAAATGATAAAACTAAGCCTCAGCCAATTGAAAATATACTGACCAATTAGGTAACTGACCCTGAAACTCCCCTTAGTTGTGCTTAAAAGGAGCTTGCACGTCCCTCTAGGGGTCATCTCCATTTTATACAGGTGAGTGACCCCACATGCATGAGGTATAATAAACGATCTTTGTTCTTGCACACTATTTGAGTCTAGTGTCCTCCTTCAGCGGTTCCTCGGACCCTACATTACCGTCAGTATGGTGACGGTCCCCACATCCCTCATCGGTCTCTCCGATATTCAGATCTTCTGAACACCTCTTTAGATCGCTCACATTATTTTGAGAAAGTCAGGTTCCGCCACAGAGGATGGAAGGCAAATAAGCGACGCCCCTTGCTTAGCCTGCTCACTGTTAAAAGCTTGGCATGTGTTTTCTTTGATCTCAGCCTCATTTTTTTTTTTCCCTGCAGCTGCACCAGCTTAAGCACCTGAAGTCCTCCAGGCAAGATGAGGCTGGCCTGTTAGCCCACCCCAGCAAATCAATAGACGCTTATTCCTCTCTTTGTCCAGGGAGATGTCTGATCTCTTTGGTCAGTGCTGCATCCTTTCTGCTCATGAGTCGAAGTTCCACGAAACTTCTCGCACATTTGGCTCAGTCTCATTTTGTCGTTTCTATGACAAAAGATTCTGTCTCTGGCAATGCTTCACTAATTATAAATGCAATGCAATGGTTCTCAAACTTGGCTACATGCTATAATTACTTCAAATGTTTTTAAAACTCTGAAAACCCATGCTGTCCCCTAGACTAATTAAACAGACTTTTCTGGAGGGTGGGAGGCAGGCCTCTTTAGTTATTCACATTCTCCAGATAATCTTAGTGTGATCCAAGTTTGAGACCCACATATGCAGAAGGCATCAGAAGTAAAAGAGAATACCATTGCAAGTTACAAATACACTATAAAGGAATGCCAGGCGGTGGTGGTGCACGCCTTTGATGCCAGCACTTGGGAGGCAGAGCCAGGCAGATCTGAGTTCGAGGTCAGCCTGGTCTACAGCGTGGGTTCTAGGACAGCTAGGGCTACACATAGAAACATTTGTCTTGAAAAACCAAACAAATAAAAATAATAAAAAAGGAATATTTACTTTGATTGGTTATTGAACAAATAGATATAAGGGGAAAACAGTAAAGTGGATTTTTTGTTTTTAAAATTTTTCTATTATATTATTATTAGTGTGTGTATGGGTGAGGGTGGGTGGGTGGGAGTGCGGCAGCCACACGGATGTCTGGAGATGAACTTTGTATAGGTGACTTTCTCCTTCCACCTTCATTTAAATTGATATTCTAGGGATTAAACCTAGGTCACCAGGCCTACACAGAAAGTACCTTTACCCTCTGAACGGTCTCACTGGCTTAGAAACCCAAAGTTTTTAATTTATTGATTGACTGATTGATTTTTCTAAAACAGGGTTTCATTATGTAGCTCGAGCTGTCCTGGAACTCACTATGTAGATCAGGTTGGCCTCAGACTCACAGAGATCTGTCTGCCTCTGTCTCCCTAGTGCTGGGTGTTAATCCCACTGATGGAGAATAAGACCACGACCAAATTTGAAGCAACTTTTAATTAAATATTGGCCAGGTGGATAGGCTCTGGCTAGGTCCATACCCAGGTTCCCAGGAAATGGCCCTGAGTCAAGGTTTGCAGCGGCTTAAGAAGGAAAACCCATAATTCATTGCATTTTCCATCAGGTCCAATCAGCAGCAAGTGTACATTCTGAAGTATTTCCTGCCTGTGAACCTCCCGCCCACATGTGATTGAGCATACCCAGTACAGATGAGATGGGTCAAACAAACTTGTTTAGGGATTGAAAACCTGTGGCTTGTTATCTCCATACACAACAGCCTCCAGCATTTCAGGAACTATCTGTCCTTGGGCTTGCAGACCAGAGACGATTTTTGTTTCATGGCTCTCTAAGGCATAGCAATTAAAACTTTGGCTCTCACACGGGATTAAAGGCACGTACCACTACACCCGTCTCTAAAGTTTTTGATAAGAGGGAAAGAATAGTAGGGGCTGGAGAGATGGTACAGTAGTTAAGAGCACTGGCTACTTTTCCTTAGGACCAGGGTTTGATCCCCAACACCCACATGGTAGCTCACAGTGGTCATCAACTCCAGTCCTGGGCCCTCTTCTGGCCTCCAAGCATCCCTGCACACACATGGTGCGCACATACATACACTCAAGCATACACACCTACACAAGAAAATAAACAAATATTTAAAAATTAACTAAAATTAGTTGAGGTCATGTATTTTTGTCAAGAACATATAGAAGTGAATTTGTGCCCTTTGCATTGCATCATGTTGGGAAGTACTAAGCTGGCAAGGAAGTACTAAGCTACTAAGGTAGCTTAGGGGGCAAGGGCACTTGATACCAAGCCTGACCTGATGACCTGAGTTCCATCTCTAGGATCCACATAGTGGAAGGATAGAAACATCTTCTGAAAGCTGTTCCAAAGAAGCACCATAGCATGTATTAATGCACACACACACACATAGACAAATTATAATATTTTAAAAAATAACCTGCTGAGGATCTCATCCCTGGTGATTGATGTTTCTTACCTCTAAAGTTACTATTTCCCTCTTGTAATGTGAAGTATCTTCTCCAGGTCATGGTGGCGCACGCCTTTAATTCCAGCACTCTGGAGGCAGAGGCAGGTGGATCTCTGTGAGTTCGAGGTCAGCCTGGTCTACAGAGCAAGTTCCAGGACAGGTTCCAAAGCTACACTAAGAAATCCTGTCAAAAAACAACAACAACAACAAAAAACAAACAACTAAATATCTTCTGGAGAGGTTTAAAAGAAATTACTGAGGCTAGATGTGGTGGTGCATGCCTTTAAGCCTAGCCTTTAATGTATTTGTAATATTTTGCCTTCCTGTATGTCTGTGCATCATTTAGTGCCTGGTAACTGGAGGCCAGAAGAAGGTGTCGTATCCCCTGGGACTGGAATTACAGAACGTTGCGAGCCTGGGTACTGTGGGTGTTGGGGATTGAACCTGGATCCTTTAGAAAAGCTGTGTTCTTAACCCTGATGCAACTCTCCAGCTCTGTGGGGAGATATTTTGATACAAGGTTATAATATTTTTAAGTGATGGGAAGACTGAAATAGAGTAGTCAAGTATGAATAAAACAAGAACTTAGCACCTGCAGGTATTTTAGGTGTCGGTAGATGGGAGGCATCAGAATAAAGACATTCTAAGCTGGCTTCAAAGACTTGAGAGGTGAGTTGTGTAAACACGGTTGGGGATGGTGCGTTGCTGAATAAAGTCTTCAGGAAGGTATCCGGTGGCTCCAGGAAGATTTCTCCAGGCCCTTCCTTTTCCTCTGTCAGCGCCGCCTAGGAAAGTGTCGCACTAGGGTGGCACCGACTTAGCCAAACCACGCACCTGCGAAGGTGCTCCACGCGCTGAATGCGCACGCGCAAGGATCGGGGGGGGGGGGCGGACACGGGGCGTGGCCGCGGCGCAGGGGCGTGGCGGCAGCGCGCAGGCGTCCTAGCGGCGGGTCGCTGCGTCTCAGGATGGAGGGTGAGTGAGTAAACAAGCCCGGGCTGGGCGGTGGGGCCCGGTATCTGCGCGGTGCGGCGCCGGGTCCTCCGGGCACAAGAGGCGAAGAGACGAGGGCACTGAGAGGCAGCTGAGGGCCACACCATTGCCTGGCCCGGGGGGTAGCGCGACGAAGGGTGCTGTCGCGAGTGGGACCCGGGGCGAGAGCGCGTGCTAGGCTGCTGGGGGCCGCGTTGCGGAGGAGGCGCGCCGGGGGCGGGCCCGGCTGCGGGCACCCGTGGGAGCCTGGGTGTGCCGTGGCGCCTGCCTGGCACCCTGACGCTTGTGACCCGGAGGGCCAGAGGCCCGGGGTTGAGCTTGCGGTGGCTTGGGGTGATGTTGAGGAAGGGTTGGCCAGGCCGAGAGGACAGCGAGGTGAGAGGCTCTTGGGGCACCGAAGTGCAAGGGTTTAGAGGTTCCCAGGGTCGCGCGGCGGCGCTTTCCGCAACCTTTTGCTCCCGGAGCTTGACGCTGATCTAACCCGCCCCCCTCCGGTTCCGGGTTTGAGTGAAGATTCATCTTCAAACTGGGGCTGTCTCTCCCGTCCCCAGAATTCTCTGGAGAAATCAAACGAAATAAATGAACGTGCCCTGAAATAAAAGGCAAGGTGTTGTATTTGGGACATACTTGTCAGGAAGTAAATATGGGACAAAACTTTTAAAGGAATTTTTTCTTAAAGGTTTAATTATTTTATGTGTGTGAAGGTTTTGCCTGTGTGTATGTGTGTGCACTACGTCTGTGCCTGGTACCAGAGATCGGAAGAGGGCCTCAAATCCCTTGGAACTGGAGTTAAGGATGATTATGTACCAACCATGTGGGTGCAGGGAACTGAACCCGTGTTCTCTGAAAGAGCAACAAGTGTTCTTAACGGCTGAGCGACCTTTCCAGCCCGTGGGACGAGCTTATTTTGGCTAAAAAAAAAAAAAAAAAAAGTAACCACTGAGATGATGTAGGTGGTGGGGCACAAGAAAGAGAATGGATACAGAGGGATGTTAACGGCGGTGGATGGGAGATGAGAAGATGGTATTGAGCGCCAGGCGGTGGTGGCACATGCCTTTAATCCCAGCACTGGGGAGGTAGAGCCAGGTGGATCTCTGTGAGTTCGAGGCCAGCCTGAATGTTTTTCCAGCCTGAGAAATAGGAATTCTGCCAGAATTTGTTTGTTTGTTTTCACCCTTGGAAACCCAGATACGACACTGTACGGGAGATGATCAGCTCCCATGGGACTTGGGTGCATGTTAGGAGAGAAGAACTTAATAGTATAGAAATATGGGATCTGCCCTTTGACTGTGGAGGTAGGAGGCTTAGGAGTTCAGGTCAGCCTTGTGAAGGCTAGCCTGGCCTTCATGAAACCCTGTCTCAAAAAAAAAAAAATGGAAATATGTAAACAAGGAAGAAAGAACCATTTGTAAAAATGCAAGATTGAATGGGATATGGTGTGCACACCTTTAATCTCAGCACTGGTAGGCAGGTCTGTGACAGGGGCAGGTGAAGGTCAGTTCAAGGATAGCCAGAACATTGTAGTGAGAGCATGTCTCAAAAGAAAAAAAATTCAGCAATGTTATTGCCAAGGTTTGTGTTTGGGACTGGGCCTGGTGGCACACATCTTTGATGCCAGGACTTGGGAGGCAGAGGCAAGCGGATCTCTTGAGTTCCAGGCCAACCTGGTCTACACAGAGGTCCAGGACAGCCAGGGCTGTTACACAGAACAACCCTGTCTTGAAAAAATTAAAAATAAATAAATAAAAAATTTAAAAAAAGGTTTATGTTTGGTATGTGTATTACAGACCTTGTGAATCAACTTTAAGAGCAAAGGTGTTTGTGTGTCTTACTAACCCGTGTACCCCAGGCACCAAAACCAGTATCCAGCATGTGATGAGAACTTACTGCACATTGTTTTGAGTAAATAAATAATGAGAAAATACATGTTCCTAATTCTGCCACTGAGAGAGCACATGTAGGCCAGTCGTGGAACTTGACGCTAAAAGCACAGCTTTGCAACTTAGTGTGAAGTAACCTGTCATTATGGTGGTTACATTGCTGCCTTTTGAAACAGCTCTGGATGGAGGAGCCTGGAATTTACATCGAAATTTTACTTTCACAAAGTCTTGTTTTATAAAGTCTTGTTTGAGATTGGGGGGTATAACTCTGGGAGGAAAGACTGGCAGAGAACAGAGGTCTGTGCTAAGAGTGTCCAGCTGGTGGATTTGATCCCCAACACTTCAAAAACCGAACCCAACCAAGCCTGCTGTTAAAAAAAATACTTCCATTCTGGAAAGTCCCAGATGATTTGGTGTGTTTTCTGCGTGTGCACGTGTGTGTCAGGTTCCTGCCTTCAGTCCCACTAGGTTATCATTTGGCACTCCAGTATTCCAGACCTTAGGGTCATGGGTTCCGGGTTTTGTTATCTTTTTCTTTCTTTCTTCCCTTTTTTTTTTTTAAAGGTATTTATTT